AGCTATCATGTCTGAGTACAGACATCTATAAATGAAAAAGGCTGAGAAGCCTGACTATCTACCAGATCCTGCCGAGGGCACAAGATCGTAGCTGAGGTATCAAGCTAAACGTCGAGGTCCAAGCGGAACTACTAGTGAGACTGAAGTCTCTCTGCAAAACATAAAATAGGCAAACGTGAGTACAAATGTACCCAGCAAGACTTACATCAGATCTATCTACACATGCACCATTATCAACAAAGGGGATGGTGGAGTTTGACTGCAGCAAGCCAGCTTTGACTCGGTGGCTATCCTGAACTACGACTGCGAGTAACTTTTTGAGGTGGCGCACACGAGTCCACATATTCACCATATCAATACACCACTATGGATCCGCTCCCGTCTCCCTACGAGAACGCCATCCATAGCACTCACGCTTATCTTGCGTATTTTAGAGTATCCACTTTCACTTGTCTATGAACTGATATAAGCAACCCAGAAGTCCTTTTCCGCGGACACGGCTATTCGAATAGATGATGTTAACCCTGCAGGGGTGTACCTCTTCATACATGTTTCCACCACTTAGCGTCTGCACACGACATGTGCTCGGCAGACTTCAAGCGAAAGCCGACGTGGGTGTAGACCACGACCTACCTAAACACTCAAGTCTCTAGTCCAGGTTTATCGCCTATTCGGGTTCCATCCATGAGGAGATCCGGCCGGAGTTTCGCTCACAGCCCCAAACGATGTGAACAGGGTTCCCGAGATACCTAACGGGCATCCGGTACACCGTGCCACGTACCTATCGCATCACAGCCCACCCCTACGGTCAGCGCTGTCCATGGCCTCCAGTAAGCTACAAACACCAGAAACTACTTGCAACTCCTGGACAGAGGACAAGGGTGAATAAGAAGTCGAGCGGGGTCATATTTCAGGGCCCAATGTATGGTAGTAACTGAATCATGGATCACAAACACAGAACTCAGTTCCTGAGGACGGCTACAATGAGACAACCCACCATGTACTCCTACATGGCCTCTCACCGCTACCTTTACCAAATCGTGTTCACACACTTAGCTCACACACAGTAGGACATGTTCACACGCCTCTGATTCATCCCCGATGAATCAGACCTGACTCAACTCTAAGCAGTAGCAGGCATGACAAACAAGCATGAATGAGTAGGCACAACAGGGCTCAAACAACTCCTACTCATGCTAGTGGGTTTCATCTATTTACTGTGGCAATGACAGGTCATGCAAAGGATAAAGGGGTTCAACTACCGTAGCATGTAACAGTTGAATCGGTGTTGTCCTAATGCAGTAAAAGAGAGCAGGAGCGAGAGAGTAGGATTGTATCGGAATGAACAAGGGGGTTTTGCTTGCCTGGCACTTCTGAAGATAACATTGAGTCTTCATCAGTGTCAACGATCACATCATCGGTACACGTCTATCGAGAGGGGACAAATACCGGCAAATACAGAAAAGACACGATCAATGCAATGCACAATATGATGCATGCTATGACATGGCAATATGAATGTGTTTTGGGCTAATGCACCTAAAACCAGATTAAATGAAGTTGGTTTGAATACAAGATTCAAATTCAAACTCCATATATGATTATTTAAATGCCCTTTACTTCATTTGCCCTAAACAGTAGTGATAAGTTGTTCTAACATGCATGAAAATGGTACAGATGGATTCCTTGAATTTTTCTGATAATTTTTCATATATAATTTATTTCATTTGGAGTTACGGTTAATTTTCTATGATTTTTAGAAGTTTATATAATTTTCTGGAATTTCCTGAATTATAATAAATCCAGAAAATGGTTTATTGCGTCAGCCTGACATCATCATGACGTCAGCAGGTCAACTGGGTCGCCCAGAGTCAAACCTGACGTGTGGGGGGCCACACGTCAGTGACACAGGGTTGTTTAACCCACTGACAGGTGGGGCCGGGTCAAAGGCCACGTCAGCACGGTCAAGCTGACGCGTGGGGCCACTGTGATTAATCTAAACTAACAGAAGTTTAAGCCGTGGTTAATTAAGGGCGTGGGGCCCGGCTGTCAGTGTCACAGGGGGAGGTCAAACCCCGGTCAAATGGCCCAAGCAGGCCGGCGGCTCAACGCCGGCGGCAACAGGCACGGCGGAGGGCTTCGGGATCGCTCCTCCGGCCACCAAAAGCGTGGCGGAGGGCATCTACACGTTGCCCGTGCTCGTCCGCATCGAGCAGTGCAAGCAGCAGTGGCTATGGCGGCCCGTAGCGACGGCAATGGCGACAGGTGTGGTGGCCGGAGCTCGGTGGTGCACGGGCGCAGGGCTATGGCTCGCCCTCGAGGGAACCAGGTAGCTAGGCCGCATCTAGGGGGGCCAGGGAGCACGGTGGATAGCACAGCTGGGCGTGGTAAGCTCAGCGGTGAGCAGGAGGTCGGCCATGGCGGACGGCGGCCTCGGGAGCTCGTGGGGCGGTGGCTAGAGGAAGCTAGCGAGAGGGGGAGGTGAGGGGAAACGTAGAAGAGCTCACGGAGGGGCTAGCGGAGGAGACGACGAAGTCGGGGAAGCTCTGGACGCGCCGAATCGGTGGAGTCGATCTCCGGGCACCGGAGGTGAAGACGACGATGCTCCGGTCGACTGCGGCCTCCTCTGGTCGCGTGCGTCGCGTGGGTAGCTTCACGGGGTCAGGGCGGAGCTCAGGGATGCATAGTGGGAGCGAGGGGGTGGTTGTGGCCCCGGTAACGGCGTCGGCAGCGATGGGCTCCGCTCGGGCGTGTGCAGAGAGGGAAGTAGAGGAGGGAACGGGGTCCAGGGGAGGAGAGGGAGGGCTGGACGGCTCCGGGCGGCTGCGTGGCGTCTCCACGCATGGATAGGCTCGAAGGGGGAGGCCTCCAGCGCGAAGCAGGAGGTGGCCGGCGTCGACGCGCGCCACGCCTCGCCTCTGCTCGTCCTCCTGGCAGAGGAGGAAGAGGACAAGGGAGGAGGAGGTGGGCTGGGCCGGCTGGGGGAACTGGGCCGGCTCTGGTGGCTGCGCGGGTAAGGCCAGGTAAGTGGCCCAGGTGGCCTCTCTCCCCTTTATTTTTGTTCTGTTTTATTTTTTTAATCATTGTTTTCTATTTGTTTCAATCTGTTTTGATTTAGTTCAAACACTAAATCATTTTTTGTTTCTTCCAATAATTTTTGCAGGGACTGAAAGTAATATTCTAGAGCCCCTCACAAAATATCAGAATTATTGAAGCATTAAAAATATATATAACATATATTTGCTCCAACTCAAATACAATATATATTAGTTCAAAGATCCAAAATGACATGGAAAAATGTGCATCATCTCTGGTTACTGTTTCCAGCATTTTTCCAAAGATGATGAACATTTTTGAAAGCCACTTGGATTGACTGAAAATATTTTAGGTGAACCTGGTGAATTCTTAAAATGCTAGGGTTTGGACAATCCCCATTTCAACTTTCTGTAAAAGTAAACATGATGCACACATGAGGCTAAGCTAGAGCAATGCCAGAAGCTAGGGATGTGACACGTGGTCCACTGGTTGATAGTCCCATATGACCCATAATAATGGGAGCCGACATGGCTAGTACCACTAATCCAGGACACCATCATCATCTCAGGAAAAACGCCTAATTAGTATGCATGATACTACCTATGATACTCACATTGTGACCAACCTAATGTGTTACCGTCACATAGCGCTTCCCAATTAAAAATGACTCTACAAAGTAATAAATGAAGGTCTCACTATTGTCACACATATGGCACTACTCATTTATGGAATTAGTAGCATAGACTAATAACTTACTACTTCCTCCATTCGGGTGCATAGCCGGTACGCGTAGTTCTAAGTCATTGATTTGACTAATTAAATATTACTCCCTTCGTCCCATAATGTAAGACTAGTGTCAAAAAACGTCTTACATTATAAGACGGAGGGAAAGGAACGAGTAGCTAATGTTTGGTTCATAGGATAGGAATATTGTAGGAATAGGAACTTCATAGGAAGTGAGATGATATGCATCTCAATTCCTATAAAGAAAGAGATGTCATTTGATGCATAGGATAGGAATTTTGCTATTGAGTCTTAGGCCTCCTTTGGTTTGGAGGAATTTTGTAGGATTTTCATAGGATAGGATTTCTATAGGAAAAATTCCTTCAGAGCTCTTTGGTTTGTAGGAATGAAATCCTATTCATATGGAGGAATTCTTCCTATCCTCCACATTTCATAGGAAAATAAACATTAGCCTAGACTCAATGGAAAAAATCCTATGGTGTGAATCAAAGGGCATCTCCTTTTCTATTCCTATGCATAGGATTTGAGATGCATGTCATTTCATTTCCTACGACTTTCCTATTCCTATGATTTTTCAATCCTATGAACCAAAGGAGGCCTTAGCTAATGTTTTTTCCTCCAAAATATGAAGGATTTATTCCTATCCTACATAGGAATAGGAATCCATTCCTACAAACCAAAGGGTTTCAAAGGAAATTTCCCTTTGCAAATCCTATTCTATAGAAATCCTATGAAATTCCTACAAATCAAAGGAGGCCTAAAGGGGAAGTTTCCTCCCTTAACTTTCATTGTTAGGTAGGCGAGGAGATTCGAACCTAGGTGGCTTGAGTGAAAACAGAACCTATGTGTCACCAAAAGCATATCATTAGTGTCATATAGGGATGTAGTTTCTAAACATATATTTTTTATTACATATTCCCATCGTTCGGAAATACTTGTTGTAGAAATGGATGTATCTAGTCGTATTTTAGTTGTAGATATATCCATTTTGCGACAAATAATTTCAAGGTATATGAGAAGTTTTTGCAAGGTACAATTTTTTTCATATAGTGTCAAAAAATATGGAGACGGAGTGGATCTCGGCCCTTGCCGATTGGAGGGCTCTGTTTTTAGATTTTTTTGAGCTTTATTAGGGTTTGTGTCCTGCTCAGGAAGGCGAGACGGCGACAGCTCCCTGAAGATGAAATACAGGGCCCCCCCTCCTAGCCCCTGTTCCGGTGATGCGTCTAGCATCATCGGTGGGCGCGTGGAGATGTGTCTCCGGCGGATCTGTCTTTGGTGGATTTGTTCGGATTTGTTCGTCGTTCGTCTTTGTTCATGTGTTTTCAGGTTGGACCCTTCTGATCTACACTCTTCATCCACGACGGTTGTTGTTCTGGTGCGTTGGTTCTATGGGGCCTTAACACGACGATTTCCTGACTGTCTACTACAACAACGTTTGCCCGGGTCTGGCGAGGGAGGGACAATGACAGCTGCGCGCCTTTCGGCTCACTTCAGTGCTTGTAGTCGTCGCTAGGTGGTCTATGGATCTGGATGTAATTATTGACCTAAAACTATGAGCATGCATTATACTCCGTACATCCGGACGAATGTACTACTAGTAGTCTAAAGCTACTCACCACCGTGACCAGTCGTTTTGGACGGATTGAGGCGGCAGAGTCCGGCTTCTGAGCTGTGACACTCGGTATGCGTATGCCAAGGCTTCAAACGAGTGAGCGTAGCCAGTAGCAGCACGCCACTCCGAAAGCCACGATAGCTAGACTTGGGCGACACGATAGGAGGACCAACGTGGCTGACGGGCCCACCGCCACCGCACCGGCGCCCCGAGGGAACGAATCAGCGGATCCGACGGCTTGACCGGGAGGGAGGACGCCCGCGTTAAGGAAGCCAAATTATTGGTTTAAAACCGCGTCCGCACAGAGTGGGCGCACGCCACAGGCCCGCTTCTTCTTGGCAGCTTCCTCGTGCAGTCCCTCCCTCCCTCCTCATCCTCTCACCCCACGTCTCCCCTCACGCGCCTCGCACCCCATTCCCTTTTCCAGCCCCCCTCGCTTCGTCTGCGTCTGCGTCTGCGTCTGAGACACAGCACCACGCCGCGGCCGCCCCACCCACCCGCCAGCCAGCCAGCCCTCACAAAGACTTGACCGGTTCCTGCGACCGCCTCGGCCTCTTCGCCTCCACCGCCTCTTCCGCGATCCCCTTCCGCCCGCCGTCTTCCGTCCGCAGCCCCAGCTCCGGCTTCCCCCTGCTGGTTACCGCTCTCCCCTCCGATCGATCGGTCGGGGCTACGTCCCGGCGCCGGCGCGGCTCTGCTCTCCGCACCACAGGTGAGGGAACTCCTTCCTCGGCGACCACTTCCCGATCCATTCCGTTTCGCGTGAGAAGAGGCGCCTTCCTCGGTGCCGGCGCTTTTGCCGCGGTTGCCGGCAGAGCTCTCGTTGGTTTAGGGCTCGAGGTTCTGGTGCTCCTGGATTTAGGCCTTTGGGGACAGGGAGGAGAGATTTTTTTTTTTTTGGGCCGGAGCTCCTCTCCTCGAGTCCCGATTTTGGCGCATGCGGAGCGCGATTCGGGGCCCCTTCCGCCGAAACCTCGGCCCGTTGGCACGAACGACCACATAGCGGGGATTCGAGTTGCACCATAGTGCGTGGGGAACTGGGGCTCATTGCCGTCTCGTTGCAGTACTAATGGCCCCCCTTTTGGTCGTGTGGAGTAAGGGGAGAGAGGGGGTGCTGTAAGATTACTTGAAGTGATTCTAATTACTCTCTATAGTTTCAGAATCACAGTACTAATCGTATTTGTGTTTTGTTATTCTTGCCCAGATCATATACAATGGAAACTCTACGTGACATGGCTCTGCCACCAGGATTTGGATTCCATCCCAAGGACACTGAACTCGTTGCTCACTATCTGAAAAAGAAAATACTCGGTCAGAAAATCGAATATGACATTATACCAGAGGTGGATATATACAAGCATGAACCATGGGATTTACCTGGTAAGTTGAAGATGCTTGTATATGGTTGCCTGTGATTATTCTGGTTCATAGTAAAATGCAGTATGGAGGAGAAAAATGTTTATTTTCTGCTCCTATATTTGTACTTTGTTCTTTTCCACAAATTGAGCCTTCTCGTGTCACATAATGTAATTATTGGTAATGATATCATAACTAGACATTTGGTAGGAGTGACTAAAGAACGTGGCATATACCCTTGTTTAACCAGTGATGATAGGGCATGTACAATGGTGCTATCTTAGCAGTGCCACTTAGTATAAATGTTGAGGCGGAGGAGAGAGAAATCATAAGAAAAGGCTTGTCTTCTCTTATTTAAGAAATTATCTCTTAGAACATGTCTCACTACGTTCTTAGGAATAACTAGTTATTGAAGATAAGGCTAAGAGATGACCCATTGTAGACATGCTTTTATTGTCATTTCTAAATTACATACAGGACTTAAGATAAGACTGTCTTATCAACCACTGTGCATGCCCTTAGTAGTTAATCTTAATAAGCTTTATAATTTTAACAGTTGATCGCTAATGGTGTATTTTCTTTGTCAGTACTCATCCTTTGGCATTATAGAGGATTTACTTTCTGTTTTTAGTATCCGATGCATTCTAGATTTTATCTGCCGTGTTCTTCAAATCCTCATCGTACCTAATCCTCTGATGATACTTCATGTTACAGCAAAGTGCAATGTTCCAACCCAGGATAACAAGTGGCATTTCTTTGCTGCTCGAGACAGAAAGTATCCTAATGGTGCTCGGTCAAATAGGGCAACGGTTGCTGGGTATTGGAAGTCTACTGGAAAAGACCGGGCCATTAAGGTGGATAAGCGGACCATAGGAACAAAGAAAACTTTAGTTTTTCATGAAGGTCGGCCTCCCACTGGAAAACGTACTGAGTGGATTATGCATGAATACTACATAGATGAGAATGAATGTCAAGCCTGCCCTGATATGAAGGTATTGTACCAACAATTGAGGTTTCAAAACATTAGTATATTAAGAAACAGCATGAGAGAGCTAGATGCATTTCGTTGCATCTTTTACATGTTATGTTACATTACTTGATGTGCATTTCACATGTTAGATGCCTTAAAAAAAGGCACAAACTTGAAATCTAGTGTGCTAATGTTATTTCTTTCTTCTTCAGGATGCCTTTGTTCTATGTAAAGTTACTAAAAGAATTGACTGGACATCAGAGAATGGTAACGAGGTGGGCAATAATAACCCTCAGCCACAACAAGCAAATGTTGCTGCTATTTTAGCTGTCAGTGTTGAACAACCAGATACTGCTGCATCATCAATTATTGGTGATGAACTTCCAAGTGATGCTGCTACGGTAGCTATCCCTGCTCACACAACTCCAGATGGGAATGATGACCTTAAAGAATGGCTGGAAGAACTGCTTGATACCTCCTTTGATCCTTCTGCTAACACTGCAGTGGATTCTATTTCTGCTCAACTGTCTCCGGATGAACAAAATGCTGAATCATCGGTATGTTATCCCTCACAGCAGTGCTTAGTATTTAAACAATTCAACCAATAGTTCCCTTGTAAGGAAAAATGCTTATGCATAGGCAAGAAATTATTAGGTAGATTTTGCAAGCCAAGAAGCTTCTTCATAATAATTTTGATCTCATGCATGTGCTAGTTGCTTGGTGGTAGTTGATAGAGCTAACTAGGTATGCATAAATCACTCACGCCAGAAAATACTGTAGAACTTTGCTGATATGTGGATACCATAGACAACAGTGCACTAAAAATGAGTTTATTTATGCACAGAAAAACAAAATCTAAATTGCAGTGCTATTAATTATTTCCAAGAAACTCTGAATTGTCCAATGTAATCTTAAATAAAGTTGAAACTAGCCAGAGTTATTAGTTATTACAACTTGTTCTGGACCTGGTGTTAGTAGCTTGTCAATTCCTTAAACTAGCTTATGTGCTAGTGCTACTCCTTTGTCCTGTCTCTTTGCTGCTGAATTTGTGTGTACCTCAGGATTATGGGCTCATCCTCTTAAAATATTAATTTTTAAGTTATGAGCGTATCATAGTGCAAATTATGAGCAATCTTCTCCTTTCTGCTGGGCATGGTACTATATTTTTTAGTTCCTGCACGCTTACTCATTGCATTTATTTTCCCTGCTGAATTACAGAACATTGGTGCTATGGCTCCGAAGGTGGAACTGGACTATGCCAGTCCTAACCAGACTGTGGTAGACGATACAGACTTCCTGTTGCCAGATGATATTCACTCCATGTTGTATCCTGGTAGTGATGACTTCACTTCATGGCAGCAAACATACTTTACGGCGGCGGATCCCTTCAGTCTGTCAAACAACTTCATGGAGGAATTTCAGATGAAAGAGCTACAGTTACCTCTGGAAAATAATGGGCCTAATCTGTATGAACCTGCTGATACTGGAATTGTAGTGCGAACACGTCATGGGGGAACATCTGCAGCCAGCGCTCCACCATACAAGGCTCGACTTCAGCAAAGTCTTGGCAGGATGGTTACGAGCAGCTCTGAATCCATCAACCAGACTATCAAGTTCGTTGACAACAACGGTCATCTTGATCTCATGACTAATGTGAAACACCAGAAGAAACATGTGCGTGATATTACTTCTGCCAGGCAGTCTGATGCAAAGAAGTGTGGAGGTCACAACAACCAAGGATTTCTCAGGGGCATCCAAAGGGCATTTAGAGGCTGTTCAGCAACAGGACTGAATATACTCGTTGCTCTTTGCATGGTTGGAGTTGCTGCAGCAATACTGCACCATGGACGTCACCGTGGTGGGATCAGTTTGTAGTAGAGGGGGATCAGAAGCGTGCCTAGTTTTAGCTGTACAAATCTGTAGCATCTACGCACTGTGATCTTGATCTTGACAGTAGGCACTGTGATTGAAGTGGACGAGCGATTGAGCATGTGGCTGGGATCCTTGCCTTCTGGAGGTACTTGGTCGTTAGTCGTTACACGTAATGTGTGCTCTGGTGCAGGACATTGATTCCCTTATATCTGGTTTCTTCATGGTGTTTGTACATATGAAGCTCTTGCTTTTTGATCAGTCTGGCTAGGTACTATGGTGATGGATGAGTGCCAAACAGAAAAGAACAAAAACATAGGGAATAATAGCTGTGATAAGTTCTCTCTTACTGCATGCTAGATTTGTAACTCTGAACCATAGTTAACAGCTTGTAGTAGGGTCATCTTTTTCATTCGAGTTGAACCAAGGGTACTTATGTAAATTAGCGAGTAATAATCATCATCTCACTTTGGATTACAGCATTATTGGATTACAGTATTGCTGTCATTTGAAGCGATGACCTGTTTGCTTGAGTACTACTGTCATTTGAAGCGATGACCTGTTTGCTTGCTGACATTCGCCGCCTCGGCAGTCACGCTTTGACGCATGACAGCTAAAACAATGAAAATTCGCAGGGCACGCACCAGCACATCTGTCTATTGATTTGCCCTGTGATTCGGGCACTTGTTTTGACGGAACTTGCTTGAAAAGGAGAAAAAATCTCAACCCTGTCAATATGGCTACTTGTTTTGACGGAAATTGCTTGAAAAGGAGAAGAATTCTCAACCCTGTCAATATGGCACAATATACGTACATCAACCGTTCTTGTGCATCACTATTCCTGTGTTAGGTTTCATCTTCTTATCTTGTTTAATTCCCTCTTTACTCTTAAACCGGTTCTTTTCAATCCTTCTTTCTTAAACCGATTCTTCTTTTCAATCATGTCTCATCCATTGATATTGTTTACCTTCTTACTCTGTACACCCGTTCCGGTGTCACCTTTCCCTACTCCTTTTCGCGTCATCTGACTTCTTCCTTTCAATCCTTTGATCATGTTGTTTCTCAATTGATTTTATGTCCGTCCAATTTATCTTCCTCTTCCTTATCTTAATTGATCAGTTACTGTGTTGTCCTATCGTAATTTCGTGCCATCCTTCTTTCCATCATAAATTCATGCACTCTTAAACGATGCAACGGCCGCTACACGCCGCCTTGAGTCCTTGATGTCACCGTAGTTACGAGGAAAAAAACTCAACATTGCACTATCCAGATCTAAACGCCTATCAACAACTCATGATACCAATTGACAAGATCTGAAGAACTAAAGGCTCGGGACCGCTGGTTTACGGCGATTATGGCGTCTAGACTTTTGTGGCGATGATGATGGTGGGAGCGATGTCAGCGACGCGACAGTGGTTGCGGTAGTCGGCTCTTGTCCGACGTCTCCATTCTTCGTTTTGTTTGTGGCTATGGAGTCGACATTGCGGCAGCGGGCCTTGTGGTGTACGACAACTGTCTGTAGGTGGCCCACTGGGCGATCTTCCGTGGCACCAACTGTGCCTGGTTTTGTCCTTTAGAGTTCTCCGTCAGTGTCAGAGTGTCTGGCCGCCGGTGGCTGAGTTTTGCCGCAGATCTTCATACAGGTCCACGTGTCTGCTACGGTGTGGGTCGAGTCGAAGATCGCCTACGGCAAAGTCGGAGTGGTTTGCTCATAGTTTATGGATGATGATGATTCCTCTAGGGAAGGAGCGATGACGATGATGCATGTGTGTTGTCTCGACAAGGTCCTCTTTGAATTGGTGTGCAAAAAATATAAACATCCACAATATTAAACGAAGAATATATATAAATTCATTTCATATTATGGATTTTGATATATTTCTCTACAAATTTGGTCAAACTTGATAGGTTTGAGTTTTCAAAAAATAATAAATATTATATTTAGGCGTTGCAAAGCGCGTCCAACCCTTCTAGTAGATATACTATGCTCCCTAATTTTGGAGCTCTCTCCTTTAATTAAAGTTTCAATATCTGGTTTGGTTCATGATTTTGACTTGGTCAATGATTTTATCAATTGAGGTGTTCAATTTGAATCGTGTTCAACGATTTTGATTGAGGTTATTTTGAATTTAATCCATGATTTTCATTCAATTGAGGTGTTTAATTTTGGATGTTTTATAATTTTGACTGGGTCAGCGATTTCAATTGAGGTGTTCAAATTTTGGATCTGTTTCACGATTTTAACTCGGTCAACGATTTCGATTTTGGTTATTTTAAATTTGTTTCATGATTTTCATTGAATTGAGATGTTTAATTTTTTGTTGGGGCGACGATTTCCATTGAGATGTCCAATTTTGAAGTTGAACGGGTCAATGATTTCTCTCAAATCAATCAGAAACAACCAGCATATAAAAAAACCGTCAACAACCGTCCTATTAAAGCACATAGTCATGCACACCCTTCCATCACCTAGCAAAAAGGAATCATCAACATGCAACATTATAGCACGAATATAGCATGTCGTCGTGAGTGCAGGAAACTTTCTCACATACTCCCTCCGTTCCACAATATATGCCTTCCATTTATCGAAATATAGATGTATTTAGACATGTTTTAGTATATCGGTACATTTATTTTTGGACAAATGAAAGTCAAGTATTTTAGGAGTACATGTCAGTTAATTAGCACATAATCACACCTTTTGAAAGGGACTTGGAAAACACCACATTATAAAGAAAAATAGTCCATCATCTTCTCACGTATCAAACCCAATATTTTTTTATGAAAACGGCGCAGCAAGTGCGTACAACTCTTCTAGTGGTTATATTATTGTTTTTTGAAAGATCCAGGGATTCCTGGCTTTGCATTGATTTAGCAGAGAGCAATTAGGAAACAAAACATGGGATGGGTGACCCATAGGTCAAGGATTAAAGAGAAGAGAAAACAGAGAGAAAGGGGAAAAAACAGGAGCTCCAAGTTACATATCTCCCAACGTATCCCCGAATGTGGTCATATTATTGTTGAGGTGAATGGCTTGTTGGAGAATAGGGTACTTGATCCGGTTAAGATATCTCGTGAACAAAATAGGGTAGTGGTCATATTATTGTTGAGGTGAATGACTTGTTGGAGAATAGGGTGTTTGTTTCGGTTAAGCTATCTCGTGAACAAAATAAAGCGGTACATTGCTTAGCGAACAATTGTCGGATAGCACTGTGGCTTAACCAATCACCCTTTGTTGCCTACGAAGCACCGATACGGCCAGAACTGGTGTATCTGCATTGCACGCCGCCGATACTCCGATACGCAGGATACGGCTTTGATACGCGTATCCCAAGTGTATCCCGGTTTTTTATTAAAAAAAATAAAATAAACCCGATACGCACTGTGGAGACGGCGCGATACGGGCAGGACACGGCAAGGACGTCGCCGGCGCCGAGCTCAATAAGATGCCCACGAGCGGGGGACTGAGGAGCGCGCCGCCGCCGCTGCCTGAAGTGGTTCGCCGCCGGGAATCGCGTTGACTCGCCACGCCGCCGCCTCGACTGACTTGACTGGAGTATTCTCCGCCGCCGTCGCAAGAGCTGCTTACTGTGTGCTTGGCTGACTGCTTTCTGTGTGCTTGGCTGATTCCCCTGAGCCCCGAGTGACGTGTGCTTGGATAAGTTGCATGTCAATATCTCTATCGAGAACTCCAATCATTACTGTGCTGCCCGTTTAGAAACAAACCCACTCTCAGGGCATACTTGTAGTATAGAACAACAATGCAACTTTGGATCCCTATGTGTAGGCGTGTAACTAGTGATTTTAGAAATTTAGCCTGAGATGTGTTTTGGTCCTATCTCACACATTCTATTATGTTTGTTTTTATTACATGTCATTTTATTAATTATTTATATATACTAACGGTATCGCCGTATTGATGTTTTCAGAAATTGCCGTATACCATATCGCCGTACCCGTTTCGTCGTATCGGTGCTTCATAGTTTATTGCTGAACTTCTCATGAACGATTGTATCGTCGTATCGGTGCTTAAGAATTTGGTTCCCCTCGCGTCGCTCCCGCGAGCAACCGAGGGGACTCACCCGTCGCCGGCCTCTAGGCCTCCTCCTCCCCCTCCTTCCCCTCGCCGTCGCCGGTCTGCGCCGCCGGGCAAAGCCCGGTAGGTGCTGGCGGCGGCGGGGCCTCGTCTCTCCCTGGCGCGGCGGAGATCGGCGCGGGCCGGTGTCCCTGCATGGAGGCGCGCTGCTGGACCGGGGCGGCGCGACATCTGGGCGGCTCGGCGGCGCCCTGGGCTTCCTTGGCTGCGGGGTGGGTTCTGCTCCTGGTGTGGGAGGGCCGGCGGTGTTCTGTGGCGGCGGGGTGTGCTCGGGGTGGTGGTGAGGGGTGGCCAGATCCGATCTGGAATGGCTTCTCCTCCGGCTGCTGTCGCGGGCGGCACGGGCTGTGGCGGCTCGGGCCGGCCGCCTTCGGTGGCTGCGTGTGCTGGTGGTGGTCCGGTGTGGTGGTTGGGCTGGTTCGGCGGATTCGTCCTGGCCCCCGGCGGGGTCAGCTGGTGGTTGCGGCGGCCAGCCGTGCTGGTGATTGTGCGTGCCCGGCGTCTCTCATGCTCCGAGCTCGCCGGGCGGCGCAGGTTGGGCAGGGGCCTGGCGTGGCTCCTGTCCCGGCCGTGGGTGGCTCCACGGCGGCTTGGCAGGTCAACTGCGGCGGCGGCTGGCATGTTCCAGCGTCGGTTCGTCCGTGGCAGTCTTGTGTCGGCCTTCGCTTCCTCTCTTCATCGTCCGGCCGTTACTTCGTCGAAGGATTGTCCATCTCCCAGCTGCGGTCCATCGCTCGTCTCACGACCGGTGCGGCAGGACCGACTTCGTCTCGCGCACGGTGTAGCAGGACCGAACTCGTCTCACGCACGGTGCAGCAGGACTGAGCTCGTCTCGCACATGGTGCCGCAAGACAGAGCTCGTCTCGCGCCCGGTGCTGCAAGACGAGTCGATGGAGGCCAATTTGGCCGGTCTTTTGGGTCTCGGCGCTGGGGGCTGCCCAGCTCGTCTCTTTGGTTGGGGTAGCGGCGGATCCCGGGTGAGGTGGTGTCAAGGTCTTGGATGCCGGGACGGCGGTCCTGGTGGTGGTAGCGCGGTGCTCATGGGCAGAGCCCGTGGCTTGGTGCTGCCCGGTGGCCATGGCCGTGTGGGCAGCGTGGTAGCTGGGGTGTGGCGTTCGGTGGCAGTGAGTGTTGGCCGGGTGAAAACTTGTTCTATCTTCGGACGGACCGGTGACGGCGAAGCTCGTTCCCTTCTTGAAGGCGTCGTCGCGGTTCTCACTACCCGTCGTGATGCTCCAGGGGAAACTTTGATCCTCGGACCGGGCGGTGGCGGCACTCTTGTGTCGTTTCCTTTCTGAAGGCGCCGCTTTGGAGCCCACGGTTCGTCATATGCGGCTTCATTTCTTCGCGATGGCGTGTTCCCGGTTAAGCCCCCAGTTGCTCTTGTAGTGCTAGGGGTGTGTTGCTGCGATCAGCGCCTATGTATCCTGCCTTGCATGTATTGTGGTGTGGCGTGTGTTTGTACTGGAATGTTGTTGATCATTGCTTTATATATAAAGCGGGGCGAAAGCTTTTTTCAGTATCGGTGCTTAATAGTTTGTTGCTGAAGTTCTCATGAACGATTATAACCCTGTGAAGGTGAGATGATTTTCGGTAAACAGTGACACTCGGGCATGGCACGAAGGAGTACGAAGTGATCGGCGGCCAGTATTTTCAAACTAAACGAAGTGGAAGCAGTACGGAGTGATTGGCGTCATTGGATCAATGATCGGCGCCGGAATTTCATACTCTACTAAAAAGTGGTAAGTAGAGTTAACTGAAATTGGAGGGGTGTTTGATTCTTCAGATTTTTGGTGCCTGACATAACATCCTCTTCCGGTTTCCCAATTCTGCAGGGAAAATGCTTATGTTTGCCCGACTGATTTTGAGAGGAATTAAGCCGCGTCCTGCGCGTGACACGCGTCACAGTGGGGCCGGCCACCGCTTCCCTTTCTTCCTTATTTCCCGGTGAGCGGAAGGGAACCACAGATTTCGTGCGCGTTGACTCTTATCTCTCCTTCTACTCCTGATGAATCTCGCCGGCAATTTCTTCTCTCCTCCAAATTCGGCGAGAGGCCGAGAAGCTGCATCGCAATACAGCATCCATGGCCAAGTTGGTGCTACGGTGCTGCAACGCAGCAGTCCATCCATGGCGCAGCTCGTCGGTGATGATGCTGCAACGCAGCAACCATGGAGCTGCTCGCCGGCGACGGCGCTGCAATGCGGCAATCCATGGCGCTACTCGCCAGAGACGGTGCTGCAACGCAGCAACCATGGAGCTGCTCGTCGGCGACAGCGCTACTTGCCGGAGACGGTGCTGCAACGCAGCAACCATGGAGCATTGGAGCTGCTCGCCGGCGACGGCACTGCAATGCAGCAACCATGGAGCTGCTCGCCAGGACGGTGCTGCAACGCAGCAACCCATGGAGCTGCTCGCCAGTGACGGTGCTGCAATGCATCAACCATGGCGCTGCTCGCCGGTGACGGTGCTTCAACGGAGCAACCATGGCGCTCATCGCCAGCGACGGTGCTGCAACGCAGCATCCATGGTGCTGCTCGCCGGACTGTCTTTCAATGGCACATCATGCCTGGTGCTGCTCGCCAGCGACGAACTACCCCACGGATGGAAGCGATGATAGGAAACGAGCGGCTCCAACCCATCCTTGTGGAACAAATCCGACGGCTGGCTAGGCGGCTTAAAATTTGATAAAATCAGCCGCCTGATTTGTAGCAGCGGCCATTCTGCAGCGTCTGCCAATCCGTTGAAGAGAAGAAAAAAGGATACGAAGCTGCTGAAGACGAACAATATAAAAAGAAAAAGGGAGAACACTTCTGTCCTGTTCTGGACGAAGAGAGTCTGCCAATCCGTTGAAGAGAAGAAAAAAGGATACGAAGCTGCTGAAGACGAACAATATAAAAAGAAAAAGGGAGAACACTTCTGTCCTGTTCTGGACGAAGAGAAAGACATCATATTTCTTCTAAACATAATCCCCATAAAACCATCGACGCCCTCGGTGATGCATTTTAATCAAACAAATAGCATCAGCTATGTACGGTAGTTCCCAAATTATGTATCAGATCAAACAAATCGCCGGTGCGCATAACCAATAATACGAATAAGAAAAACTGCAAACATAACAATCTACCATGCTGGACCCTACCTTCAGCCTGAAGGTCATCCCCTTCTCTGTTAGGTTACTTGCTAATAAGCTGCGACGGGGTCTGCAAGAACCCTCAGTTGCATAGTATAGAAACTGTTATTATTCTTCTATCCTGGAAACCGATGACGGCACTCAGAATTCCCAACTCTGAACATGACGAGTGGGAGGAACTTCTAGTACGATGGTTGCCCGACAGCAAATATCTTTCACATCATTGACTACAAAACCCACATGATTTGCTTGGGAGTTCACTTCCTCTTCAAGACCCCTCCTGCAAGCAGAGAAAAAACGGGACCATATAAGTATGTTTTCCATGCTGTATTCACTACAATCGACAACGGTACAAGAAATTTGCCATCACAATACAAGTTAGGGTCTAAATAGCTAGGTTTGTCAAAAAATATATGGGTTCAAGATTCGGGGAGAATCTGAGGGATGTCCGATTCTCAAGATTCTGGGAGAATCGGCCAAAAGAACTGGGCCATATCCTTGAGAGGCGAAGTAACAGAACTACATAGTTAATTGCCACCAGAACTGAATTACCAGAACACAAGAATGGGAAGCTGCTCACCTGTTTGATGACTGAGTACTATGCTATTCTCTCCAGTGCCTCGCCCAGAAGCCCTTCTTCCTTGTTGACTCGCTCTCTGAAACTAACCGGGGTGACCGGGAGCCAATTGAGAAATGCCTCCTCAAAAATGGCCGACTGAACGAGTCCTTCATGCTAATACTTGTGCCTAATCTGGGAACTCTCTTACTTTTCTTTTGATGCTTAGAGCTCCCATCTAGATCACCGTCGAGTATCACATTTGTAGGCATCTTATTCTTTATCTTTGATTCCAGCTTACCGAATAGCTTCACAGTACATTGTTCACCGTGGGTGCATACGGGACAAGGAGGATCATATTTCTCAGCTTCTGCAGTTAAGCTATCCAGGCAGTCAGCATGGTAAACATGGCCGCACAATAAAACAGCGACAACACCCAGATCCTGGGCATTCCACGCTGGCCTTTCCTTTAGTAGCTTTAAACATAGTTTGCACACCTCTTGGTCAGGGGAGACGGTAGTATGATTTGAAGCATTTGATCGAGTCATTTTACTTGAAACGGAACCTAAGAGCTCACTATCAATTGACCATCTCTCTCTTTGGGATGATGCAACCATTTCAGAAAATGTTCGCATTGACCAACCATCAGATGACTCTCCATGTGATCCTGCTACAGATAAATCATTGCTGCAGACTGAGAGCATGGAAGAGGAAGGCCTTCCTTCAGGGGAGTTGCTCTCATTGAGAGACCTGAGAGATGGAATCTTGCTGTCTGAGACCTGTCTATATAGTTGATATCCTGGTGAGCGACGTGCTTTCCTCATTGAGTCTGTATCCATCCCTAGAGAATGCCCCCTAGAGGATGAAGGATCTGCTCTGGATACTACAGGTGGTGTTGAAGGGACAGAGGTTGATGCCTTCGTATCTGAAGCAACACTTACCATGTCCAGTGATTTCCTGCAAAGCTTTGCCTACAAAAGAATAGAGCTGTTAGAAATAAATTGTATCAATCTTACTATTGCATATAACATAAAAGTAGCAGCTACTGTATACCTCGGGGGAGGAGTTACTTGCAGTGGGTCTATCTGCTGAGAAAAGAAAGAGGTCAGCAAAAAATGATCAAGTAAATAAATAGTGAGGCGTGAAAACATAGTGATGTCGAACCATGTCCAGTGAAAAGGAATAATTGGATAAATGCAGTCACAATGCCATATAGTTTGAAGAATGTCAGTTTAATTAATCTGCCCACAGCAATGGTTTTATTCTCTAGACTAGAATGCTATACAACTCAATATACACCCAGATAACATGGTTCATGGCTAGCATTTAAAGCCATATTTTTGCACGGATACTTTTGCTCCCTCCTGAGCCAGGCTGAAAGCTGGTTCGACCACCAACTACTGTGGGCATTGCCAATGTTGTAGTCTAATATGCGGGCTGCTCAAACCCTATATGCCGCAAGACGATGTTATGGCTGTGTTGCTGTCAAAACCTTGTGTGTCATCTGGAGGCATTGACTCAGTGTTAGATGGTTTCCCTAAATGATGATGTTGTTTTCCTGCTAGCTGTTGAACAGAACAATGTGTCAGTGAGCGGGTCTTCTAATCCTGGCAGCAGCTATGGCGATGGTGACCTGAGCCCCCTGGTTGAATCCTTGACGCCACACCACAACGTGCCAGCATAGACGATGACCCAATTCACCCTTTTCTATTGGTTTCATGGAGCCAGATCACAGTGATGGTGATTGAGTATATTCACTATATATGGGGGCATTTTTAGTAAACTGTCATCTTAGTGTGGTAGCTTTGCACGGCAAAAGGGATGGTGGTTGCAATGGCATATTTGGACTAGTAGTGACAACAACATTGTCCCAAGTAATTCTTTTTGTACCAAAGAATGACTAGTGTTGTCCTATAAGATAAATCATGTCCATCTGGTTAGACTTATTTGATTACGAAGAACATCACTGTTACATCCCACATCCCAGCATGTCTACAGAATGCACAATAGCATACAAGAATCAAAACATGCCGCATATCATGAACTGAATTATTTACCTCTAGGATCAGATTGTGCAACTTTAGATGTTTCCATCTTCTTTTCTGTTTTCTGCCACTTGACCTTGTGGAACAGTTCAGATGGGCTACCTCCATTAGAAAAGCCTTCAGTTGGCGCAATGGAACCACTCTTCGTTTCAGGCCTAATGCTTCCACTACTATGGTTGGACAAAAATGTGGGGATTTCCATTATGTCTTCTATATGTGTTCTGTTATCCCATCGGAAGCTCCATGATGGGGAGTGTCTTACATTCCTGTAAGCTGACACTTCAACTGGAATGATACATGGCTGAGGCCTCTGCTTTGCAGCTATACAGCAATTAGCTCCCATGTCGGCCGAGCAAAAGAAATCTATATGATGCTGATTTGATCACCCAAACTCAAAATGCTGAGAACCCATCCATGTGATGCAAATTCATGAGCTTGCTCTACCTAGCTGACATAAAAAGAGTACAACAATAAGGATTGCCTTCAATCAAGACATGAAAAATACATGAGTAAAACTACTATCTAGCTTAGACAGCTAGGGGTACAAATCAAAATAAGAAAGCAAACCCAACAAGGAATCTATGGAGCTTCTACAGCAAGCTATTCTCAAGAAAAAAAGTACACTTTGAAAGTACTGAACTTCAATAAATCTAAATTCTTGCATTTCATATGTTAGCGTCGATACCTAACATGGACCTACAAAAGCAGTATAAAAAGGAGGCATGGTCACCTATGTGTGGCAAATGGGAGAAGTGAGGGCATGAAAGTCCAAAGAAGAATCATATTTTAATATGAAGTCCACATACTTGATAGTACGATCAGACAGGGTTCATTGATTCAAATTAGGGTAAAACTTAACCTTACAAAAATTAAAAAGTGAAATTAATCACTTATTTTCTTATTTAATTTTGCATAGTCTAGGCAATGTATAAATCATGGGATTAATTTAAGGTAAGGACAAAGTGAAGATTAGCAGCATGCATTCCACACATAAGTATCCCCTGATGGCATTTCTAACAAATTCTCCAAGAAGCTGAACATCAACATCCATAAAGCAACCACTTAACATACTCAATAAAAAAATTAAAGGGGAATACAAAAGGATGCTTGCGTATAATTGAAGGCACAAAGCAGGGAAGCCAGCTAACCGCAGTGGGTGAAAGAAACTATATGTGATAATGTGAAGGGAGAAAGCCGCCGTTAGGTGGACCAGTATCCAAGACATTCCAATACTAAAAGACACTCAAGGGGCACTGATTCCTCTCCCCACACAACACACTAGCTAGGCGTATATCACATTTATTCCCATGTCAATTTCAGACCACAGGGCCGAATGACAAATAAGTAAATAATATCTTAAACACAGAATCGCATGAAAGCAACATAACAAAGAAAAACGGCGTATGATTGTGTGACTCAAGCGCGAGATTATACGAAAGTAGGTTGCTAGGCGCAGTTCATCACATCGAGATGGCTTTGAATCCAGATTTCTTTTCCAGCGGGAAACAGTGCTGTAAAATTTTAACTATCACGACTAGTACATCATGAAGTAAAAGGATAGCCAGTAATCAAACAGTAAATCCAGCAGGCGAAATCGCGAACAGGGGAACATCAGGTCAGGCCTACATCCCACAATCACAATTCATAATATCACTGATAAGATTACCAAAAAGAAAGAACAGACTTTCGGAAAAGAATAAAAACTAGCGGCGGTGGGGACCCGCGCAATTCATCGGAAACTGGCCGCACGACTACCAACACTTCACCAAACCACCGAAATTCTCCGAGTTTACCCCACCTACCGCACCAAGCAGTCCCGCAATTCGCGGAAATTACCTCGAATCACGCGAGTAGGTAGCCCCGAACAGGGAGTGGCGGCGTCCAGGCACTTGCCCCACAGCACCACCGTCGCGGGGGATCCCGGCGGTCTAGCACCGGGTCTGGATCTGGCAGGTGAGAAGGACCGACAGCGGCGCAACGGACGCGCGCCGGGCTGGGCTGCGGCTCCGCTCCGCTAGGGCTGGGGCTGTCCCCGGGAGAAGCGGCGAGCGGAGGAGAGGGAAGCGAAGGAGAGAGAGAGGGAGAGAGGTGGGGAGGGGAGTGTGGTGTGGGTATAAAAACTGGTAGGAATGGGTCTCCGCTCCGCGCTGCGGAGTATTGCTCCGGCCACACCGGTGGACACCAGGGCCGCTCAGCCTGGGCGTTCGGGTACCCGTACCCGTTACCCGAACCCGAACCGAACCGTAATAACCGAAATGTGGGTTAATTCGGGTATCGGTCTTCGGTACGGTTCTTATTTTCAGACTGTTCGGTCTTCGGGTAAGGGTTCGGTTACTAGTCTCGAAAACCCGAACAAACCATATTAACCGAAGTTTATATAAGCAACGTCTCACGCGATCACTGGGTCACACCACACATGCGGCTGCGCGGCCCAGGCCCAACTCACCTCTCCCCACCGCTCGTATAAAGCCTCACACGGTCCCACCCATCACAGTCACACGAAACCCTCGACGGCTCGACCCCTCCTCCCTCTCGTCCTAACCCTAGTCCCCAGCGGCGGCGGCGGCGGCGGCGGCTGTGACGCAGGAGGCGGGATGGCGCGTCGGCGCGTGATGGCGTGAGGCACGTGGGCAGGTCATGATGCTGTAGCGATGCGCCGAACTGCCGAAGGAGCCGCAGTTGCTGGATCGAGTGGAGACGGAGACGCGCGAGCCACCGGCCGGAGTCAACGCACTGAGCACGGTCGACGGCAGCAACAGCAAGTGATCAACGTGAGTGTGGTAAGTCCCTTGACTTTGTCACTCCCCAAGTTTCACTTTGTCCCGATTCAGATGCTCAATTGCTCAAGTAGTCAAGTGTTCGTTGACTTGTTGGTATATGGGCTGTAGGCGTGTAGCTAAAATTTATATAGATAGTGAGTTTGAGTCCCGATTCAGATGCTCAAGTACTGTAATTACTACTATGTGTATGTAGATAGCAGATTGTTTTGACACCTTATGCAGACAACAAAATTGATGTATGTGTATCAGTGTATGCAGAGTTGCAGACAACAGACTAAATTCTACTGTTAGGCTAAATTCTACTGTTAAATGTACTATTTGTAGATAAATTCTACTATTTATTTATATAAATTCTACTGTTAGGCTAAATTCTACTGTTAAATTAGACAACAGACTAAATTCTACTGTTAGACAACAAAATTGATGTATGTGTATTAGTTCACTAGTTGTAGATAAAGTGTACTATTAGGCTAAATTCTACTGTTAAATGTACGTTTTCCTGTAACTATGAGTGATGTTATATATTGTACTGTTTATTTCATCTTACTTATACTGTTATATTTTCTATAACAAATTGTCACTTCTCATTGCTGATATGTTAGGCTAACTAGTTGTATCATTTGTTGTTTGTAGATGGCAGAACAAAGTTCTCGTATTTCGCATTCAGACACCTCCCCTTACAACGCTTCGAACTTGGAGAAGGACAGTCATGATGGGCAACAGCTCCCCGACCAGCAGCAGAAGGAGACGACCGAGGCTGAGAAGAATACAGAAAATGCCAAGAAAAGGAAGAAAATGCCAAGAAGAGAAATTCCTGTTAACAATGAAGAGAATGAAGAGCTACTTGCCAACCTAGAGGATGGTAATTATGCAAACAAGATACTCTTAGATATGTGCTTTCCATTTTGTTCATACTTACATTCTCTCGCTTACTCCATTTATTTCAGCGATACTTCAAGAATTGTCTGATCTGAGCGTTGCTAATGCTAAGTCCGGTACAAGTGCTGGTGTCCACATCACCATTGATGACATCGAATCATAAGTCTTGGTGAGTAAAATTCTTGCAAGATTTCCCCTGTAACTTGCATGTTGTTTTCAACTTGATATGCTGGAAACTATGGTGGGAAAGTGGAAATGATATGCATGATCTCGTATACATATCACCTTAATGTTACGCAAGATTTCTGTTTTAATTTGTTTTGCACTATATTTAAGTGATTTTCGTTCCACTTTTGCAGGGAATAGCAGAAGAACATCAAGTGTGCCGCCAGCCCGCCAACCTAAGGAACACTCTCAGCTCACTCTCAGCTCGCCCTCAAGGATACTTCATACTTGTTAAGCCCTTAAAATATTAGCTATGGTTATCTCAGCTTGGACCTATTACTAGTGTCATGTGTGTGTTTGTGACTGTTTGGACCTATTCAGCTTGAACCATGTTTATTGTGTGTTTGGACGACTTGTGTTGTGCACTGGTGTGTTGGGAGCTATCACCTATGAGAGTATGAGACAATGATGTGAGTCTATTATTGTCAAATTTGATGTCATGTTGCTGAATGCATGAATCTGTGCTTGTGTTGTCCACTTGTGTAACTGAATTTGCGCTTGCACTGTGCATTTCTGCTATGCACTTGCATATCACCTGAGACTAAATTTGTACTTTTGTTATATCTGATTTTCTTGCTGCTGTGATTGTGAGGCTATGTTGCACTGAATTTTCAAACTCTGAATTGTGTACAGTATGCTGGTCTGAATATTTCGGGTTATGGGTACCCGAATTACCCGAACCGAAATTTTCGGGTAATTTGGGTACGGTTCCTTTTCTGGCAGACACAAGTTCGGCTCTCATTTTCAACTACCCGTATTACCCGTAAACCGAACTAACCGAACCGAATAAACCGTATTACCCGAACGCCCAGGCTGAAGGGCCGCAGTCGTGACGCTTCCGAGTGCGAGTGCCGGACCACGTGGCTCGCCGCGTGTCACAGGATGTGAGGGACCACTTGCATTGACCCTCTTGGCTGTTCGGCTGCAACAGGTGTTGCCCGCGACTTCACTGGCTTGTGGGCCATCTGTAGGGATGCCAAAAGTCAGTGCCGTTTTGTTTTCCTGTATGCCAAATGAGGTGGTGTTTGGTTCTCTAGTCTTAAGACTTTTTCTAGTCCCAACTAAAAAGTCTCTAGTCTCTGAAAAGTCCCTTCCTGTTTGTTTCCAGAGACTAAAAAGTCTCTAGTCCCTTCCTGGAGGTTATTAAATGACCATGTTGCCCCTAGTATATAGAAAAATAACAATCAAATAACACCATGGAGTGACGGGCCAATGGGTGCATGGAAGGGCATTGTTGGAAAAGTCTCAAAAAGACTCTCCTTAAGAGTCTTCTTCATTTAGTCCCAAATGCCTAGTTTAGTCCCTAAAAAGTTCCTCCCGTTTGGTAAAAAAGTCTTTAAGAGGGACTTTTTCTAGTCTCTACACAAAAAAGTCCCTGGAAACAAACACCCCCTGAGTAAGGCCTCCTTTGGTTTAGAGGAATCTTGTAAGAATTTCATAGAATGGGATTTCTATAGGA